GGAACTCTTGCAGAACACACTGTTTTGAATCGGCAACTCCCAACCAGTTTTAAACTATAAAACTTGCAAGGAAAAAATAATTATCCATCAAAAATATTTAAATTTCCGGTTCAGTATTGGCTTTTTATATTTTAAGCAAAAAATTGTATAATAAAACAAAACTTTTTTTCTTAGAAAACACAAACGTCCTACTTTTATTTAAGGATCAACATTCTGCATTAGGCGAGTAAGTAATGATCAATTATAGTTTAAAAATAACTATTTTAACTGCCATTAGGTTTTAATTGCTACTTAGAGATACTTAATTAAAGGACGAAATTGAAGAAGAAAAAAACTATTTAGAAGAATCACCAATTTACTTAGGTATACAACTTTAAAATGTCTCTTTATGCTTGTTAATACATTCATTACTATTCATAGATATGATGATAGGCTTTGGAAAAATAAAAAATCGTAAAAAAACAATAACATTTTGGAAATATATCTTAAAGTGTTTTTCATTGAGTCTAACCCAAGTTAATTAGAATGTTTATCTTTAAAGGGTTGAAATATCATGAAGTCTAATAGATGATTGGTCGAAAGAAATGTTGGCGGTAAAATTTGAATAATTAAAAAGGTTACAGTCCATGCAATGTTGGGACTGAGTCGGCCTTCAAAGAAATTTGAAAACGTCTGTGAAAAATTTAATCATGTCAATCTGTAGTCATATTTAAGACTGTTTTGCTATGATGATGACGTAAAAATAGGTCTAAAGCTTTGTCGAAAAAAACTGAATTCGATTTTTCATCAAGATCATATCGTTGATGCGGAGTATGCGTGAATAATCATACAGATAAATTATTTTAGCATTATTTTTTATTTATAAAAAAATAGAATACTTATAAAATTAAAATAAGATTATTATAGTAAAAGAAGATGATTAGAGAGAATATGTTGAAGTGAATATGACCAGCTGTTTGTATCGGGTGTTATTTTTATGTTAATTTATTGGATTGAACGTAATTTATTAGTGTGAAAGTAAGGGGTTTAACCCGCCCCGAGGAATACCGAGTAATCGGGGTGATTGTGTGTCGTCTGGAGTGAAAAAGTATGTTATTAGCGAGAATGTAGTGGGTTTAAACCTGCCATATAAAGTATGTTAAGTGTCTATTCTGTCTATTCTCTAGTTTGAACCCTGAAGTACAAATGAGTGACTAGTATTTTAAGGTACTTAGTCTTCATACAAATGCAGAGAACAGTAACAGATGGAGACGCTAAATTGGCTGCACGTTGAAAAAACGCGTGTAAGACCAGCAAAAGAATTACAAAATCACAGAGGGCCAGCGATGGCCTCGGTTGTTTGTCGGGCCATAAACCTTCCTTAAAAATGGATTGATTCTGCTTGTAAAACTTTCTGTTTGTGGGCCACGGATTTGGTCGATTTGTTTCAATTATCTCAGATTTGTGACTAGTGAGTGAAGTCGTACGAGTTTCTAAAAAATCTACTACTCCTCGAGTATAATTTATTCTTTTATAAGTTCGAAATCGTCGGATTTAACTTTCTATGGGACGGGAGAGAGAATAACAGGTGAGTGACCGATCGAAACTGTGCACTCTTAAAGCGCAGTGAAACTTATTTTCACCGGATCACAACATCAACAGCCGGTGAAAACTATTACGGAATACTTTCGATCTTCGCCGACGGATTAGCTCATAAATTTAAAATAAACGGCAAAGAACGAATAAAAAAAAGTAAAAACGAAAGTTATTTTGTGAAAGCGCCCAGCCCCGATGAGATTACACCTGATACCGATATCTTAATTGTTTCTCCTTTTTATTATTATTCGACGCCTTTCCCCGGGAGATGATTCCATTGTGCGTTTTCCGCTTTATTCCCCTGTCCAGGTGAAAAGTGGGTGAAAGTGCTGCGTGAAGAAACGCGATGGTGTGTTTGATAATAATCCCAGCCCGGTTTACGCCAGGTGTTACCGACCGCATTAAACAAAACGGATTGTTCCTCATATTTATAGTTTCTCCAATTTCCCCAATTTACCTGCGAAGAAATAGAAAACAACAATAAATCTGTGAGGTCTCTTCTTGAGGTCTGAGGGCTGATGAACTTGGGCCGTTCCTGGAAGTTCAGATCCTTCAATGGCTCGTCTAATTGTTATGTTTACTATTAGTATTTTTATTAATAGTAAAAAGTGATGGGATGAAAGGTGTGTTCGTGTTAGCTATTTTTGGTGTTTTGGCAGTTTCGAGATCATTCTGGTCCGCCTACCATCGTGTTAACCTTCAACCGTTCAATAAACATTGTATGTAAGCAGCTAGCATAAGCTGATTAAATAAAATAATAGAACACTTTTTTTTTTTAAACAAGGATATAATTTTTTTTTCTTTCTTTCAAGTTAATTCATTTAAAAATTTCTGTTTCCTGGATTGCGGACATGTATTTTACTTTTCTGAAAAATAATTACTCATTAGTCTTTTTCGGTTCAAATTGAGATGGCGAATCACTATGAAGAATCTATGTATAAAATTGATAAGTAGAAGAAAAAATAAACACACTCGCCAAAAATCAGCCTTTTGGCATTAATTACAGTTAAATTATTACTGGTTGGGGTAAATTTTCTTTTTTATTTAATTAAATAATTTTTTTTTTTACTTTTGGAAAAATCGTTTTACACGTCCCACTTCAAATGAAAAAATGCAACTAAAACTAAGTTATGTTTATCCTTATGTTTAACTCGCTTTTGTCTTTAGTTTGGTCTTTACTTGTTTGGTGGCCTCTTGTCCAAAAAAATGGGTTCAGGTAAATACTTTTTTGCCATCACTCTCAAAGAAACAAGGAAAACTAAGTTGAAAAAGTTTCTAGTTAGGTTCAATCGTGCAATCGATAATTATTATCATATTTTATTATAATTTTATTACCGATTATTATTATTATTAATTTATTATTCATTATATATCTGAACAATCGAATTAGGCACGATTCCACTGAATCATTGAAGGATTTCGGCCCGAATTTCGACTTTTATGCCGTTTTTTTGCGTCTTCTGAAAAATTGCGTTTTCACGCATAATAATACAGTTTTCTCGGAATGTTATAGACAGATTTTTATAATTAAGAAGATCATAGAGACGAGTTATAGCTAAGGAATTACAAAAATATTGCATATTTTGGTCGAAAAAAATAGTTTCAAATTTGAAAAAAATAACTAATTTTTTTACATTCAAATCCTTATCAAATTAAAGCTACTCACTTACCTTACAGAAATTTTAATAGCCAGTAAATCTTTATGCATTTATTAACAGTCATGAAAAATATAAGCCAAATTGATTGAACAGATTTGAGAAAAATGTACCATGTGAAGGTGGTGTTTTTCCCATGTGGATAAAGTCTCATCTTCCCTGATCCTGTCAACAAATCTAAAAGAAAAACTGTCACTAAGAATCAAATTGAATACAACTAATCATTGATGATATTGATATGTAATATATTATAAATATAATATCAAAATACAAATATATATTACAAATTGATGATTTCTGCTATTTTATAGTCGAAGTGCTCAGATTGATTGATATAGTTTATTATAAATTAATTATTTCGTATATAAATTACTTATTTCAGTTATGGTTTTTATTAAAATGATGATCGAAGGTGGTTTTTTCCATGAGGAATCTCTAGGAATCGAATTGATTAAAAACTTTTTTTAACGAGGATTCGCAACAGCAGAAGTCATATCAACCCCCGGGGTGCCGATGTTTTATAAAAAAAAATTCTAAGTATGTCCAGTTAGAATGCAGGGCCGCTGGATTCGAACCCGGGACCTTTCCCTTACAGTGATGAGCGCCGTGTCAACGCCTACCGTTGCTGCCACGGATGCCCCAAATATTGTACATTATATTTCAAATTTCTGCTAATTTATAGTTGAAGTGGTCAGAATGAGATTATTATAAATTAATTACTTCCTATGTAAATTACTCGTAAATTGTTTATTTCAGTTATATGGTTTTTGTTAAAATGATGACCTTGTTTAGTGTTTTTTTCTTTTCTTTAACTTTTATTAAAGGTAAATATTATTTTGTGCCAGCAATTACAGTCCCTTATATAATTGTATCTGTAATTACAAATAAATAGAGTATTTTGTAAAAGAAAATATTAAAAACATTTTCTAGATGGACTACTGACTATCAGACCTGGTCGTTAGGTGTATAAAAAAGTTATTTTAATTGCAAAAAACAACCTGAATTGTCGTTAATGTAAAATCCAAAAACTGACATCTTTATAATACTGTTTAGTCCAAAATTGTGGTCAGTTGGAGATTGTTTCGGAATGTTATCGTGGTAGAGATGTTACACTGAGTAGTATTTCATTGTTGGATGTGGGGCATTGAAGGGAAGGATCAAAGGATGAGCAAGTTGTATTTTGTGAGTGAAAAAAAGTCACTTTCATCAGGATGAGTTGGGCGGGAGCGGCGGTCGGTCGGTCGGTCGGGCGGCGGTGGGGGCCGGGTCGTGGGGCAGGGAGGCTGTCCTTGGGCCAAACTAAGTCTGGGTAAAGGAGTCAAGGTCGATGACCGTTTTCTGAAGAGTGGGGCCCCAATGAGAAGTGGCGGATCTGCCCGCGGCCCCCCCAGCCGCCCGGGGTCAATCACCCTCCCCCACCGCCGGCCCCCCAACCGTACGCACCCTTCTATCATTGAACTTGGGACCTTTCACTCTCGCAGTACACCTCATCGTCGACGGACTAGAGTGATCTCGTGCTCCTGTTTTCAGTGTGTTCCGTTTGTTTTTATGTTGTGAAATTATGTTGTTCGACACGCGGGTGCCCCAGTACCACGGGCAGTACTTCGCTCCCGGGCTTCCCCCACAGCTCCCGGAGGCCCAGCCTCAACAGGCCGACCACCAGCTCAACATAGGTCCGACAATTTTCTTCACATCCGTCACTTTTACTTCTTTTACTACGACACCAGAGAAACAGTTTTTTCTAACTGTTTTTTTTACCTCTGTTTACAGAATTCGACGGTACCACCGTCCTCTGCAGAGTGTGCGGTGACAAAGCGTCGGGCTTCCACTATGGGGTCCACTCCTGCGAAGGATGCAAAGTAAGTACATTATTTTTTCTCTAAACTTCTTAATTATCAACATATTCCACTGATTCAATATTTCAAACGCTTCGAATTCGCTCCTAAATCGACGAAATGCTTCTCTTTATTATAATTAATGATCAGGATCAACAAAGGTACAAGTTTTACCTTTTTACAATTTTTGCCACTCATGTAGATTCGTTATTTAATTAATTAGTTTAAATATTTAAAGTAAATCATTCGTTATTCCAAGTGGATCTGTAATAAAACAGACATTCTCCTGACCTCACACAATTTGTTTTTTTAATTACACCATATAAATTCTTTTGAAACTTCTTTATCTATTAAATTAATCGAATATGATGAAAAATCAGAAAAATTATTTATAGAAATTTATTTACGTATTTTAAAGGGGGTTCGAAGAAGGTAGAGTAGGATGGTGTGAAACCCAATTGACCTATTCGTCATCGATTTTCGTAAATAACCCATGGTTTATTTATGTATTTTTTATACAAAGCCTTACGACGCTATAAAAATAACTTGGTCAATAAAAAAAAGGCCACAACGCAGTTAAATTAACAGCAATGCCAATTTTATGCTACTGATGTGTATCATCGCCTGGACTTGATATGCTTCAAAATATTATTCTTGGAATATTTGTCTAATCTTGAGTTTTTTATGTTAAAAGAAGACAAAAAATGTTTGTAAACCGTTGTCCTATGATTGATTAGATCTATATTTTCGGTGTTTTCGTCTTTTCTCAAGGTTCCCGATGATGGGACTTGACCCTGGGATTGTGCTGATAATAGTGCAAGGTTGCAGTCAAATCAATTATTCAAAACTGCTGTAATTTTTTTTTTTCGAGTAAATATCTTGTTTTTAATGTTTCCTCTTATTGAAATTGAGAAGGAAAATATCATGGGGTTGGACAACAAGAGAATTAGTATGACAAAAAAATTTGTTTTTATGAAACAATTAGATAATTTGTTATCTTGGTAAATGTTAAATATGGGAGATCAAACAAAAAATAATTTGTATCGTGTATTATTTGTAGTTTGGATTGTTTAAAGATTGCTAAATATTTTTTTGTTCTTTTACGTTATCCTTTTGCGTTACGTTCTTACGTAATCTATGTTTTCTCGTTCATTCTATTACGCTTTTCTACTTCGTTTATGGAGTTTGAGGATTTGAGTTATGCTGGATTCGTTTTTTGGTTTTTCTTCTAGTAGACTTTATAAAAGGCAAAATTTTCGCGGAATTACCCATAAACATCCTGGATCTGAAAACGACCGGCCCTGAAAGTAAAAGTGGAGAAATTCCCACCCAGCGGACCGGGGGTTGCTGTTGCCAGATGTGACGTCAGGTACTTTCTTCCTGGAGTGAAAGCCAGCCCCTTTCTCAACTTTCGTTTTCGCCCGTGCGGACGACTTTCACCGCGCCCCGGCGTCGACGACCTCGGTCAAGCCTTCCCGGAGTTCCTCGACCCCGTCAGCGGTGGTGGGGTTGCGCAGCCCCACCCTTGCCACCCCCTCGGAGGGGGTGGGAAAATCAAGTTTTCCTGTTTTCATTGGAAAACCATAAAAAATCCACTTGAATGGATATTTTAATCAGATATTGAATTATTTTGTGAGATCTGAGTGGTGATGGACATGTATTTAGGTCAATTTCTGATCATTTTGATCATCACTTCTTTGTTTCAGTTCTACCATTTGTGGTTCGTCATTCAGTTCAACTCCTTATGCTCGTTGATTTGTAAAAAAGCTATTTCTCAATATTAAAAATTCAAAAGTGTTTATTTTATTTATTATTAAAACGTATTTTTATCTAAATATGACTTTTAAGTTAAAAAATTCTGTAAATCGTCAGTAAATAGATATTAGTGGAAATACGACTGGCAGATGAAATGGGAATGAGTCGACGTAGTCAAAAATATCCAATCCGGCCTGGTGCAAAATATGAAAATCCTGTTCGGTATGCCTCGCGACGTATTTCCTCCACAAGGCCAAGGTTTTTGACCGCGGCTGGTTTGTTAAAAAAAAATAAATGCGAAGGTCGTAATTTTGACCTTGCTCGGGCCAAATTGAAAACAAGAGAACCTGCCTTATCTCCGCCGCCAGCCGGTTTTTTCTGGAGATTTTGTGGAATAAGAAGAAAAAAAATCTCCCCCCAGGTCACGATTAAAGGATTGCCATTAGAATAGCTCCGGCCGAATAATCTGTGACCTTTTAATTAATTCCTTTTACCCAAGCCAGACTAATTTTAGGCTCTTAATACTAAATTTCTTTAAGAGATTTCCTCTTTTGGTCTGCGGGATGATAAACTCATTAATTAATACTCTACAAAATATCACCCAAACACTGATGGTGGCGAAATGCCGATTATGACAAGTAACTATCAGACAATAACTGAATTTCTTGTTGGAAAATATTCACGTTCCCAGTGCTCCGATTGAAAAATCACAGCTTGTTGAAAATAAAGGGCAAAGTCAGTTGTAAATAGATGCCTTTTTTCTTTCTCTTTGTTCAGCAAGACCTCAATACAGTAGAATTATCTGCGCAGCAACTTGTTTTTGAATTGAGGCCATTCTTATAACGTACAAACATTGTTTTCCTTAATTTATTTTTTTTAGAGGACGTTTAATTATAATTGGGTTATTAATTGATATCTTACTACACGACCGTCTAAGCTCTATTTAATTGCAAAATTATTGGGCCACAATCTACCGATTGTGCTTTCGGTTTCAACAGGTGCCGAAATTGGAGGTTTCAAAATAGAATCATACATCATCATAAAAGCCAGCTTAGACTATAAGTATTTTCGAGAATGTCTTGTGTTCAAAGTTGCCCTCATCTCCCTTCACTACTAAAAACTGAAATGTTAAATTTTTTCTTGTGTTAAACATATAATATACGTACTACTTAAAAATGAGTGAAAAAAGGAATGGAAAAAGCGTTATATAAATTTTTTAAAGAAAAATTGAATGTGTTGTAATAGGTTTTGTGTTGAAAGAGAGTACATCACCAAACCTCCTGCATTTTTCAGTCCGTTTGGGTATAGAATTGAAGCTCGATATAGTTTGGCTTTAACGTATAAGAGGAGAAAAGATATTTTCAGTTCGTTTATCTCAAAGAGCACGTTATTTAAACAGCCAAATAAGTACGCGGTGATAAAAGACTTTCTCTCGTAGTAAAAGTAGATTAGCAGTAGTCCGATTTTTTAAATGTTATTTTCCCTCGAGATCAGTGGCTTTTTATGATAATGGCCCCCAATGATGGTGTAAAAGGCGTGATAAGAGTCATATTGTTTATATGTGTATTATTTAGCTTTTTGCTGTCGAGGTCGATGACCGCTGCATAGTTGCAGCTTGGTGCAGGTCCTTGTACTCTGCGTCATAGCTCCGGGTGTCCGTTAGGGTCACTAAACCTTGTTCGCTCGTGATGTCGGTCTCTGCCAGTCAAGTTGGAGGGGGCTTCGGAAAAGGCGAAAAGAGGAACGAGAGGAGGGAGATTATCTAATTGGCGTGAGATGTCGGGTTGCACAAGATCGCACTTTCACCACGGGGGGGCAGCGCCCCCCCTGGGGCCGGGGATCCGTCGGTCGTTGCACCCCGCGACTCACCTACGCCTCCTTCCGAGAACCACGGACAAAAGGCCACCCGTTTTGAGAAATACGGGGTTGGCCAATTTGGCTTTGAGCAACCCTTTTTTTCTCTGTCCGCTCGCCCCTGAGGGAAATCGGGGTGGCCGCCTCGACTTCCTTACCTTCGTCGCATTTTCTTTCGCGAGCCCCTCGAAGAAAAAAAAGCTCGTTTATGTCACGTCGTCGCTCGTGATCTTAACATACGCCAAAAAAAAAAAAAAAAGAGTCTGAGCGATTTCCCGATCTAAACAGAAGTCCTTCCTTATATACTGTACAACAGTTGACTTGATATTGCCCATGGATGTTGATTAACCGATAACGGCCTTTGGCTGTTATAGGGGTGATATACCTGTACACAATATTATAAATTGAACTTAATTCTAAATTTGAGTATTAGAACAAGGGTAGACATCCAAACAATAATACTTTCATTTAATTATTATTTTACCTTGGCTTATTATAAAGACGTTGTTGCTTCTTCGTTCTCTTGGTTTTGATTGAAAAGTGTTTTATTTTTATTATTTTATTTTATTACATTGACCATTTCACCTTCGCTCTCGATATGTCTAATATATTTATTTATATACGGATATAATCCTTGTACAAAAATGTATGAATGTATTACAAGTAATTACACTAAAAAAGAGCTCATCATGCTAACAATATTCGTATTAATAATCATTATAATGTTTGCACTTGGTGTTATTTCCAATTTCCTATGGATAGAAGCTAAAGAAATAAATTCATTATGTAAACACAATGGATTTATCTACCGAGATTGTAAAGATTTGTTTAGTGAATTGTCAAGTTAGTTCTGAAAAATATTTATAGAAGAATTAAATAATTTTAATTGAGAGATGTCATTTGCGGACCACATTTTTCTAGTATTGTGGTATGGATGTAGAAGGTCCTCTACTGTCCAAACTGATAAGGAGTAGTGGAGAAGTTTAGGATGGAATAGTGGAAGGGTTAATATTGCTTAGAAGTTGAAGACAGGCAATCTATAAATTAATAATTAAAAAAAATTATTATTTGGAGATCGTGAGATGCAGTCTGGTATGATGTAGGTTTCAGAAAAACATTTTCTTTATCGTGCCAACGTTTCGATCTTTTATTGAGATCATCTTCAGAGCCTGGGATTTGCAAACATTGTTTAAATTTAACAAATACATGTAGGATGTGGAAAAAAGTGAATTTATACAATGCAATTTTTTTAAATATTCAATCAAAGTATTTGTACTCGCTCAAAGTAAAATGTTAGTAAAAGTTAGTTAAAAAATGTTAATAAATCAAAGTGTAATCTACTTGTTTTTAATGGGATTTAATGTTCAAATACTTGTTTTGATTGTTATGAAAATCACTCTATATTACTTTTTATAAATAATTATCATATAGATTTCCAATAGTAAAGCTGAGATTCGAACCCAGAATAGCCATCGGAAATAATGGGTATAACATCCCTAAATACTTATAATGAAATTAATGGATATAAAAAGTATATTTTATCCGATAATTTATGAAGAGCCATAAAATATGATTTTTAGGATGGCATCTTGTTTTATGTACTTTGATGGGGTACAAGCGACGTGTCAAATTTCGGTTGAAACTCCCCCCCATATGCGTTATAATTGAGGTATTCGCCGGCGGATGGGATTCCTGGAATTAATTTACCCGGGACCGCGTGATCATCCGCCAATTTTTCGCCCTGACTCAACTCCATTAAAAATAGCAGGACCCAGAAACCTTAATAAAGACCGAAGTTCAGCGCCCTCGTGTCGATAATGGGCCTTTTTTCCCACCTGTCACACGGTCGTGAATTTGTGGCCGGATCACCCTCGGCCCTGATTTACGACCGATAAATATATCCTGGGGATCCCTGAAAAACGGAAGACACAAAAGTCCCAGTCTGACGAAGCGGAACGGGCAGAATTTTAAAAATTTTCCCCCCTTTTGTGCCGTTTTGTACTGTGACATTTTTAAATGCGAGGGGGGGAGCGGCGAGGTCTCTGACCCCTCAGCTCTAACTGGGTGGAGGCTGAACTGAAAACTGGGTCTCTCCTCTCACTGATGTAACGGGTCAACGAACCCTATCCTTATTTTCTTATCCACTGTTTACCTCTCTTATCGCCCCCTTGGTCAGTACAGGCCGTTATCAGCCAATAAAACAACAATTAAAACGATTCATCATAAGAAGGAGTTTAAACAAATCCATAAATTCGCCCGTTATCTTTGCTATTTTTATTCATTTTCATTTTAGTAATCGGTCATGATTTGCTGAGAAAACCCAATTCAGCCTTAAATAACATCGTACATTTGTCACTTTTCGAAATTTTGAAGGGTGGAAAGTATATTGTACATTGGTAAATATACAAATTTACTGTAGATCCAACCTGTAAATTTTAAAGTTCATTTTCTACAATAAATCTAAGAATTTGTTGGATTCGTAACGAGTGGTCAGGAATAAAGTATTTTAGAAATACAGTTTTTACATTTTTTTTGCAGACCTTTATTCGAGTCAAAACAACCTTAAAAAAAATTCGTTTGTTAAATTTTTCTGTCTGTCTTTTATAAAGAGGTTGTGCATTCGTTTATATATGGAGTGATTTATGTGTAGACTATGTATTAAAATCGTCAAAGCTGATAGATCTTGTTTGAGTTCGATATTTATAGTTTATTTATTTTTACTCCAGTTTAAAAAAAATGAAACTGGTAAGTGAGGGGTTGGGTATATAATATGTAATACAAATCACGAGGTGCTCGGCAGCGCGTGTATTGCAATAGAGTAAGAGGTAATGGGGTTGCGTTACGACAGAGGCGAGCGCGCTGTGCCTCGAAGGGGGGGTCTCTTACTTTCGTATGCCATCGAACTCAAACCGGGTCCCTCGGCTCTCAGTAGGTCGCCAGACCCGATAGCAATAACATGGGATGTCTTTGTGACCAGGGCTTCTTCAGGAGGAGCATCCAGCAGAAGATCCAGTACAGGCCGTGCACCAAAAATCAACAGTGCGCCATACTCAGGATCAACAGGAACCGCTGCCAATACTGCAGACTTAAAAAGTGCATCGCCGTTGGAATGTCTCGTGACGGTGAGTACTGTTCTTTCTGTTTTATTTATTTATTTTTTTTTAAATTCCCATTCGAATCCATAATTGATTTATAATTAAACGAATAGTTCATTTTTGCATTCAGTGCGTATCTTTTACACGGCTATAAAAATAAATTGTTTAATAAAATTGAAAGTAGGCGAAAGATTGTTTATATCGTTTCACCTTCTCAGAATGGGATTGGTAGAGTTAATATTTTCAGACCCATAATCAGTTTAAATAAAATCTTATCTAAAAGTCCTTTAAAGGGGGAATATAAACACCTCCAGCTGTGAAACATTAGATGTTTTACAGCCGGGATTTTTCCAACCCTACAATTTTTTTTAAAACAGTCTCAAAACCCGTGGGGCCTGGTTATATAAAAGGGCGCCGGTGTGGTAAACTGAACTGTTGCAATGTAGGTCACTCGGAGAGGGCGATGAACTCTTTCCCTTTTGTCTGATCTGCTCCACTCCCCACCCCGGTCGTCCTTCGTCCCTGGTGGGGCTGTGTGTGCCAAAATCCAGGCGCGACTCCTGGAGGGGGGGCGAAAATCGGGCCGGTTACATCAATCAAAACCTCCAGGGGATGCTTCAATCGGAAAATGGGTCCCGTCGGGTGTTATACCAAAAAGGGTATTCAGGGCAAGGCAAAAAAAAAAAAATTTGGATAAGTTGCAGAAAGACACACATACACAAAAAACGGCCATCAGATTGTTAAATAGTTCTTAGTTTCTGGTGGATTTTAAAGAAAACTATTTCAATTCATTTTGGATTTCGGTAATCAAAGTACCCAATAACCTTAATATAAGGCTTTAAAAATAAACAATAACCCTTTCAATCTTATAAGACAGTTTGTGCAATCTGTGATCAAATTTTTGGCCAAATGTACACAAAATCAGGGTTAAAGAAATAAAAGTCCTGAAAAAATGTACAAAGAAAAATCTGTCAATAACTTGTGTTACCAAACTACCTAAACATCATCCCTTCTTACCAACCTTCTTCCAACATGGCCATAATAATTCTATACAAGATTACTGATGATGTATGTAAAGTCCTGAACGTCCAAAGTAAATGTTAATAAGTTATGATTTTACTTCATTATTAAAAAAATGGGAAAGTTGTGTGACATAAAAAAAAAATCAAGCGTCAAAAGTGTCCATCCTTCACAACTCTTGTCTCTCAGTCTTTGTCCAAAAAAAAAAGATCTTATAAAGAAAAAAGTAACTTTTGCAAAAGGGACTACTTGGGCAAAAGGGGGTATTTTTGTACTTTTCCATTTTTTTTCTATTCTGCACTAATGTTGTCTCAGTCTTTGTCGAAAAAAACCCACGCAAAAAATATCACATCTTAAAGGGGCTACACAGGGATTATTTTTGTACTTTGTCATTTTTTTTCTACCCTGCAAATCTTCTTTCAGTCTTTGTCGAAAAAAAAACGCAAAAAATATCACATCTTCATATAAACAAAAAGTAACTTTTGCTAGCTTTTTGGGCCTAAAGGGGCTACACAGGGGGTAGTTTTGTACTTTGCGCCATTTTTTTTCTATACTGCACAAATCTTACCTCTCATTCTTTGTTGGTACAGGAAGAAAAATACCATTTACAAAACAGACACTTAAGGACACATACAAATAGGACAGATACACACCTCTGGCTGTGGTTTTTTGCAATTTGACGGCGTCCGTTGAACCGGAAAATTTGCTTTTCAGGGAGAAAAAGTAGATTTTGAATTTTTCCTTTTCTTAGGTGATTTTTTATTTGGAAGGTGGTATTGTTTTTGTGCGCGGGCGGGGTGAACGTCCTGGGAGTCAACGGCCCGGCTCGTGGCTCGATCTGGCCGCGGAGTGCCAAACCTCCTGGCGAACGAGCAGCGCCGGGCGGACCACGCCTGGACTAAACCATCGATCCGGGTTCCTATTACGCACAATCCCGCGTGTACGCGTTTCAATTTTAAACATTATCACGTTAATACGAAATGACAATTTAATTTTTTAAATTCTATTTGAATATTTCCTTTTGTAAGGAAGGCAATTTGAAATTTCTTGAATATATTTTTGTCGTTTAATTATAAACTTTGGCCTTTAATGACCGGCCTTGTCTCAAGGTGAATTTATTTTGCGCTTGATACACAACAAACATTTTTACAAGGTGATTCCGGGCTCATTAAATATAATTATAAAACGGCTTTCAAAACGATCGTCCCCCCTCTTTAAACATCAATTTAAACTTATTTGTCGTCAAAAAAGCGTCATTGGATAAAGCGGATGAATGTGTTGTCAGAATTTTTTGAATTAAATTTATTATAATTGTTACCTAAATAAAATTGATATTTGGGCGAATTTGACTTACACGATGAAATCTGGTGACGATTCGGAGTCAATACTTCTACCCACTTTAGGCAGACGTACTCCAAAGAGAGACGAGCTGAAATAGCAGTCTGTATAATTGTACAGATACGGAGAGGTGTAGATTTAGATAGGTTTTGCCCTCCTAGCGTTTATTAAGCTTTAATTTATCAGCTAATTTTCTTACTAGGTCTTCCATACTTTTTGTAAGAAACAAGCACTTTTCATATTTGAACGTGAACCATTGGTTGGCTAGAAAGAAAATTAATTGGTTGAGAGTGAGCGATAATAGCAAAAATAATTAGCCATTTTAAGCCCACGTGATAGGTTTTTCCGCCGCCACGTGGCATACCAAATGATCCAAATTTATTTGACCTCTCATTTCCAAACACTTCAAAAAATTTTCGTTCTCAGGACCGATTTTTTATTTCTAAAATCATAAAATTCGCGCTAATTAGTTTAAGCTAATTTTAACGTTTTAAGGGGTTGTAGAACACAAATAAATAGGATTTGCATAAATAATAATTATTTTTTAAATCAAATTAATTGTGAAGTGCCTATCTTGTTCAACAAGAGATCAATTTAGATTAATTGCGTACATTTCATATCAAAATAATATAAAGATATAAGAAAGTAAAACAATATCTGTTTAGCCCTTTCTTTCCTAAAGTCGCGTCAGGGCAATACCAAATTTAGTACATCTGCCAAATCTTAGGAAATCCCACGAGTTTGGTGCCGGTGCAGTGTTTTTTCCTTCACTGTTTCTTCCCATTATTGGCAACACTGATTTTTTTGGCGCCAATCTCAAATCTCCAACGTGGCACTTCATCACCCTAGCAGTGCATCTATGTCGACATATTTGCAAATATATAATTTTCCATATCCATTTTATAAATAATTAAAACCTTTCTTGCCCAAAGTTGTTTCAGAACAGTGCCAAATTTAGCAATTTTGTTTAAGGTCCAGGAAACCCCACGAGTTTAGGTGTTGTCCCAGTTTTTTTGCCCGTGCATTGGCAACACTGTTTCATTTAGCCCCAATCTAAACTGTCACAAAACGAAGATTACCCGCTAACCTTTTAACGAAATTTTTAATGTTAGCCTTGCTATAACACAATATTGGGCCCAAAAAGGTTTATAGAATATTTTTCCCCTTTAGTCGATATTGCAAAATGTTGCGAATGTTGCAAAATGGCGAAGTCGTTTTAAAAATAAACTCTAGATAAACCAAGGGGGTGAAAATCGCTCGGTGAAAGTGAAAGGTGTAAGGAAGCGGTAGAAGAAAGAAAATGGGGCCACCGTTTGTAGAGAGAGAGAAAAAAAAAATAATACAGCAATTAACCACCCTCCCCTGAACCCCGTGGCTGTGAATAAAGCGTGAAAGGCGTTGTATTTCAGTGGCGACCTTGTGCTGCGTGGGGGGGTTGTTGCTGTATGTAGGTCGATATGTGGTGGCAGGTTCAAGGGCACGGTTGGAGTAAGAGCGGGTGGCGGGCGGTCGTCCTGGTGGGGGCCGGCCTCCTCCGAGCGGCGGTGGGGGTCCTCGCCTCCGATTCGGGCTCAGTCTTCAACCGACTTCAGATATGAGAACAGTTCGAGCCGACGCGCACCCACTGCTTCACGAACGTCTCTCTTGACTTGTTTCCGAAAAGAGTGGACAACAACACGAAAGATTTTCAGCAGCCTCCTTTCAACAAAAAACGCCCAGTCATGATGACGGAAGAGTTACCGATTCTCAAGGGGATCCTCAACGGTGTCGTCAACTACCATAACGCACGTAGGTGTCCTCTCCGACATCGGGACGAGCCTTCTTCCCTTTTTTGGATTAATTGTGCCTAGTGTATTGTGCCCTTTTTTTGTTGTTTTTCTCGGTTTCGTGTTTTTTGAGGTCACGCTCCACCGACGCCCACTACTTTCTCTTACTTTCATTTCGTGTGTGAAAGTGAAAAGGTCCGGTTTCTCTTTCGAATCGGATCCCGACCTATTAAATCCACTTTCTTTCACCTTCTCCACTTGAAATTGTGAAAAATGCGAGATGAGAAAACTGCCGTTGGATCGCCGCACGTGGCCTCCGGACGGCTCCGACGCTGGAGGTTATCGTTGGAACTTCCCCCAAGGGCATCCCGTTGCTCCACAAACTTCCGATTCATTCAGATCCCTTCTCTCGAAAAGTTTGAAACACAGTTTTCTCAAAACCCAAATATTAAATTCTGCTCCATTACGCTTTCCTCGTGAAAAAACCGTCACGCGTTGTTATCAGTGTTCCTTTTTATGATGATTCGAGTAAACCAGTGCAATTGTTCCTTGATACATAAAAAATTGTTCACGCATTTGTGAGTGTTTTCTCAGATAGGTGTTTTGTTTTGTGTTGCAGCGGTGAGATTCGGGCGAGTGCCAAAGAGAGAAAAGGCCAGGATTTTGGCCGCTATGCAGCAAAGTACAAACTCAAAGTGCCACGAGAAGGCTTTGGCCGCAGAACTTGAGGACGACCAGAGGCTCCTCAGGACAGTGATCAGGGCCCATTTGGATACTTGTGACTTCACGAGGGACAAAGTTGAACCTATGATACTCAGAGCGAGGGAACAGCCATCGTTCACCGCATCACCTCCGACCTTGGTAAGCACATTTTGCATACCTCAATTCGACTCTTTTTTTTTCTCCCCAATTTATATTTTGCTAATAATAACGTCAAATTGCAGGCGTGTCCTCTTAATCCTAACCCGCAGCCTCTTACGGGCCAGCAGGAACTCCTCCAGGACTTCTCAAAGAGGTTCTCACCGGCTATCCGCGGAGTCGTCGAGTTCGCCAAAAGGATTCCCGGATTTGGGATCCTGTCTCAGGACGACCAGGTGACCTTGTTAAAAGCCGGCGTCTTTGAGGTCCTCCTCGTCCGCCTCGCCTGTATGTTCGATACACAAAACAACAGTATGATCTGCCTTAACGGCCAGGTCCTCAAGCGTGAGTCCATCCATAGCGGATCCAACGCACGCTTCCTCATGGATTCCATGTTCGACTTCGCCGAAAGGCTCAACTCCCTTAGACTCACCGATGCCGAAATCGGACTCTTCAGCTCCATTGTCGTCATAGCACCTGGTGAGTCATCGTTTTTTCTCAATTTAAAAAAAAATTGAAGTGATTCAAAATTAGAATTTGTGATGTTTAAAGTTGTTATAAAATTTTAATGGAGGGTGTGTTGATTCTGTGTTACAGATAGGCCCGGTTTGAGAAATACAGAATTGATTGAGAGAATGCAAAATAAATTGAAGGCTGGGCTCCAACTAATGATGAGTCAGAATCATCCTAATCAGCCCTGTTTAGCTCAAGAACTGATGAAAAAGATCCCCGACCTGAGGACGCTCAACACGCTACACAGTGAAAAATTGCTCGCGTTCAAGATGACCGAACAACAGCACCTGGCGGAGCAACAGCAGATGTGGGGCACCGTAGTGAGCGAAGACGAGAGCAAAAGTCCGAGTGGTAGCACTTGGTCGTCCAGCTCCGACGTCGCGATGGAAGAAGTAAAGAGCCCCCTCGGATCGGTCTCTAGCACAGAGTCCATGTGTTCCGGTGAAGTGGAGTACCACAGCAGCCACGCCGCGTCCGCACCGCTCCTCGCCGCAACTCTCGCCGGAGGATGTCCAATGAGGCATCGCGTCGGGGTGGAAGACAACAAGGATATCAAGCCCATCATCATCCACAGGACCTTCAGGAAGTTGGACTCCCCCAGCGATTCCGGGATAGAATCCGGCACGGAGAAAGTGGACAAACTGACGAGCAGCGCGCCCACATCTCTCTGCTCCAGCCCGAGATCGTCGGTCGAGGACAAGGAAGACCACCAAATCGAAGATATGCCAGTGTTGAAAAGGGTACTCCAAGCGCCTCCTCTCTATGACACCAATTCCCTGATGGATGAAGCGTACAAACCGCACAAAAAATTCAGGGCGTTGAGAAAAGAGTGCGGAGACGAGCCCGATAACACCACCTCGACGTCTTCCCTCTCGAGTACGCATTCCACCTTGGCCAAATCCTTGATGGAGGGCCCGAGGATGACTGCGGAGCAGATGAAGAGAACGGACATCATCCACAACTATATCATGCGAGGAGAGGGCTGCGGATGGCAGCAGCAGCAGAGCGTCATCACGACGAGCAGCGCCGCCCGCGGTGGAGCCTACGTCATCGTCAACAACTCCAGCCCGGGACCGTCCATCTATGTGCCCGCGGGTTCGCCTTGCCCCAGCTCGACCTCCCTCGTCGAACTGCAGGTTGGGACGCAGCCGCTGAACCTCTCGAAGAAGACGCCGCCCCCGTCGCCGAGGCCCAAGGTCCTCTCGCTCGAGGCTTGAGACCACCCACCATCCCACGTTTTCTTCACTTGTGAATAGTACAAAGTCGTCTCGGCGGCAATGTGGTACAAATCAAAACCGCTCTTGTGATCTCTCCCTCCGTGTAAATATCTCTCTATCTCTCTTTTGTAAATAGGACTCTCCATTGTTTCGGAGTGAATTTTTTGTATAATTATCGTTCTGAACGAACTATTCTAATGGTGCCACTTTTGAACCGTATTAAGGAGAAAAACCAAATAATTTATTATTGGATAATCAATTTTTCATTCATTATCGATTGAGTTTTATTATTATGATGATTCATTATTGTTTTTTTAAGATGATTACATGTGTATTAGAAGCGAGGAGGAGAAAAAGTTAATCAGTTTTTTTTCTTTTCCGATCTTGTTATATAAGTGTTTTTAAAACGATGATGTTGTAGTATGTTAGTCGTTGTTGTGTATTCTTGGTATTCTTTAAAGAAATTTTAATTTCATTTTGGGGCGAGTGTATTGGCCTATAGCAGACCTCAACTACGGACATCGGCCATAATCACTACCCTTCAAAACATTTTTTTGTTTCAAATTTTGAAAACGTATATAGATTTATATATTTATAAATGTGATATATTTCGATATAGTGGGGCTTGCATTTTATTTGTGTGTGTATATTTAGTCTCATATATCATTAATTAAAAAAAAACTAAAGTTAAAAACGAAAAAAAAAAGTTATACAAGTTAACACTTATAATAATCGGTCCCTCGTGTACATATAATGTCGAGGTTTTTGAGACTGATGGAAGGCACGCCAGCATCTGAGTCGAGAGCCTAAAATAAGGCCAGTATATATCTAAGCCCACCCACTTTTAAAAAAAATCTATTTAAACAACCAAAAAAAAGGCAAAAAAAAAATAAATGTAATATATATATTTACTAGTTGTTAAAACTTAGAAAATGACTCCAAAGTTTATTATTTTTGTTAATATTAAAAATATTTGTACATAATAAACATAATATATATTTCGCTGTGTACATATTTTAGCAGATGGGCGTGGCTTCCGATGCATATTATATTATATCTAATTGTCGTCCTATGTTTTATCTAGACTTTGGGTATGTCTGTTCCTCAAAAGGCCGAGGTACGAGGTCTGTTCAGCCGGCAGACTTACAATTTTGTTTTTTAATTTTACAAAAAAAAGAAAAAAAAAAAGAACCAGCAATCAAGACAAATCAAGGCTTTTTGCCTAAATTCCCAATTATGTATATTTAGGCTGGAGTTGAATTTTTTTTTTTTTTAATGAAAGTTATTAATCGTTTAGGAGAATATTTATATTTTTTCTCTGTTTATGATTAAAATAATTGATAAGCCCAGTGATAAGTTTTTTTGAATGTTTAAATAATGCGTTTATTGTTATCAACCCACATGGTGTGTGCTTGTATGTATTGTTTTGTAAAAGCTTGGACGTTTTTTGAGGCAGTCAGATTAAACAATGTCTGGTGAAAAATTAAACAAACTAGTTTTCATTTTACAATCCTAATTTTCACATTTGAAAAAAAGCCGCAAAATTGTGGCGTCGCCGAGCCAGAATGGTCTCAGAAAATAATCGCAATGTCAAGGATAAGTCGAGACGTCACGGGCCGCCGCTGCGCGACACGTCACCATGCCAGATAAACGGCTATTTTTAACAATTATTCCATTTTAACAAAAGGAGAGGAGTGGCCATTTGCTGGGAAAAAGGACAAATCGTCAAAATAATAATTAAAACGAGCCGGACAACCTTTCTTCAAGATTTTCCCCATTGTCAGTTCGTTCTGAAGCATAATGTTCACAGGTCTTGAAATTGTTCTGAACACTGGTACGTTTATAAAACGACAAATGAGGAAACTCCGTCATAATGAGGACGCTCATGATGACCTTGCCCCGCTATGACTAACGCTCGACCTAATAAAACAATGATTGGTTCATTCCAATAAGGCGTTTTGGTGTTATTTTTAGCTTGCTAAAACAAAACGTTAGCTATGGTTTACAAACTGAGCTTTATTGCATAATTTCTAAAAGGCCTTGAAACCCTGCCCTAAAAAATATTGCAATGTCACTTCCTTATTAACGAGAATTGCAACGCACAAAAATCAACATCCCATCGAGTTTCAAGTTATAAACCAGATTTAAGGACTTAATAGATTACCTCACTTCAAAAATAGCTCAACTGGGTATTTATAGTTACAAATTGGTTTTTCACATGTCAAGATCATTAGAGCAATATGGAAAGAAGATGACGACTATAAGCATATAATATTATGTAAAGGATCATTATATCAATACTGTGAAAATAGTATGTGATTTTTGATGCACCCACGATTTGTTTTGATCCTGGTCCGCCGATAGTCGCTGGTTTGTTATGTCATACGCATTTAATCACGTCTTCTTCATATCTGCACCCTCAGAGCAAAACTGGTTAAGAAACTTTAAAATCGCAATCCTGAACAATTGTGTTTTTTATTTGTGCAATTCTGCCCGACGGTGGAGAGATGATAGCAAAAGCAAAAAGGACGAGTTTTAAACGATATTTTTCTTAGCATAGTATTATAATTATATAGTATATATGACCTTGTCAAAACACCAATCGTTCCCAACCATAATAAACCACCCGTAGCCATATTCAACCACCACTTATCTTAAACTACCCCTAACCACCTCTAAACGCCTCTAAGCAACCCCAACCAACTTCAACCACCCCATCCATCTCTAAGTGCATCTAACCGTTTGGACTCTTTGTTTGAAACATGTGACTTAAACTGCGGGCTCTACCATCGTAAACCACCCGTATTCGTTTTCAACCACCACTTGCCATCTTAAACCATTACAAACCATCTCAAAACGTCTCCAACTGTTTCAAACCATCCCCAACTATCAAAAACCGTTCCCTGACCGTAAACCAGCCCTTACTGTTTCCAAGAACTACTACCCTAACCATCCCTAACCAAAACTAACGTTACAGAATTGTAATATACAATTGACAAAGCTATAACGCGCCTGAAAGATCAAAACAACATGGACAGGAATGGTTGACGTATGAAATATCTTGTGGTTTCGTTGAGTTTGTAATATTATCATGGTCAGGCTGCGGGATTTAATGAATTATAAAATGTTACTGGTTACGTTTCTCCTTTAGAAATTCAAAGCAATTGTTGAAACTTGGAATACGGCAGAAAAATCATGAGCCTTTTGGTAAATTGTGTAAAGCAACTTCCAGAAACCTGCGATCAGATTTTAAAATTTCTGAAATTTTCTAATAAATAGGGCGAGTATTAGGTAAGATTGAATTTTAAAAAGTTATGATCGCTGATAAAGATGCTCTCCCATCCTGGCAAGCCCGGCTTGTAGAAAAGATCCTCTGATAATAGAGATAAGCTGATCCTCTTCGAGATCTCTACATCAACTGGTCGTTCATTTCACCGGAGAGAGCCCGGGAGGAGCTCGTCCCCGTTACATATTCCGAAAGGATCGAGGGCTGACTTTCTCCTCCGCCCTGACCCTTGCCCCGAGACTAAGACAATTGAGGCCATTATTAAAATACGGGTACGTTCCGAGAGGTCGGCTATTTTCGTAAATTTCAGACTAAGGAAGCGCCTGAGGCCGGACGTTTTCAGTTCTGACGAACGAGGAATCCTTCCGGGTGGATTGTGAGTTTAGACATCGTTGTGAAATGTGCAAAACATCTCAACAGATGAGGAAGAGAGTGAAATAAAGATATCCATAGGTCGTTCCAATTCTATTTAAAGACCCACCCTCGCCTATTCAGTCTAAGACAAGGGCTCCGTTAGTCAATAACGAGTCTATTAAATAAACTAAAATTTAAGGATAGAAAATTGCGCTATTTCATTTCTTAGCATTATCTTATATTCTAGAACAATTTCCAAGAAATGGGAAAATATCAGGTTTGCTCTAAGGTCATGAGACTTGGGAAATATAAATATCTCAGTCTACTTAGGTCTGCCAAATTAGGACAGTTATACCGAAAACTGTTGTAAGTACAAGGAAAAGAGGTTTAAAAAGTGATTTATACTAGCTGGCATGCAAGCCAAGAGTACTTTTTAGTTTTGTTTGTTCATTGATAGAATCATTTGAGGTTCATTTCATTTTAATTTTTTAATTTAATATGATAAACGAAAATTGCCAACAATCTTGATAAACAGGGATCATTTATAACCTTCAAAACTATTCCGCAGTTATCAAGAAAAAAAAATTCATCTGGTCGAATGTTTCTTTTCCCTGGAGCAGACTGAAAGTGATCGGTGATTCGGTACTGGATTTTGCCAAATCTCGCTGGGTGAAACTGGTGAGAGTGTGTCAGGCTGCAGGCCGCCCCGGATGAAAGGTCGTGAGCTATCTAGGAATATAAATTACTTTCACGTTCAGGGTGACTTGCGCTTTTCACTGTTCTACGCTCTGAATGTTCTGTCGCCCGAGGCGAAAACGGCAAAACAGAACCCGATAGAATCTCGTGCGATTTCGAAAAATCAGGGCGAACTCAATGAGAGCCGGAAAAACTAGATGAGGACAATGGATTGCGAATTTATTCACGTTGGAATCAATAGGCTGTCACGGTCATCAATTTAAATTTGTCAACATTCAAGAATTTTGTGTGTTATTGAGGTCTGTGGGGATGAACCCTTCCTGGTCCTCCTTTCCTTGCTGTTTTTGTTAGGCTGTTTAGACTATTTGCCATTTTCAATTATGAATTCTTGTGTTTCTTTTGTCCAATATGAAAAAATCCAGACATCCTCTAAAGGATAAATATGACGTCTTAAATATAATTAACAAATAAATTAAGTAAACTAATGAATGCCGTCAAAAATATTATTTATGAATTTATTAAAAATATATCCTGTACTGATAGTTTTTAAGCATGGGTCCTTATTCACAACAATAAAGTCGTGGCTAAAACTATTAAACTTACACAATGCAGTCGTAAGTTTTTAATGACTGTGCTCTTCAGTTGTGAGTAATTCAAGGGAGTGGGTGTGGACCTTAAGGTCATTAAGCTCATCACTCACCAGTTTACAACGACGATAGAAAGGGGTCTCGTACACATTTACTTCAATTTTTCGCATACATAAGAGATTTCAAGAGTTGATGACCTGATGCATGGTCTTTTTTTAATCAACTTAGGGCTAGCAATTAACCTAAACGTGTTTGGACTGTCAGAATCGTTTCAACACCAAGATCAGTGGTATGGATTTATGGCCATTATAACGGATTGCGCTTTACCATCAATAACTAGCTCTAATCTACAAGCACTCCTACATCTTCAACAATCTTAACTCCCTCCTAGCCGTAACCAACCGTTTTTAAGCCCTCTTAACAGTTAGGACTACTGGCGTTTTCAATCTGTAACTACGCCGTTAGGCACTACCAGGTTTTTCTTATTGGTTACAACGGTCCCCCTCAACACCAGGCTTAGGCTCGACCATAGGTCGCGTCCAGGATGGGCCACTGGGAGGTACCTGTCATGATGATGAAGGGAGAGATGATGCTAATATTGTCAACTTATTTTCTTATCTTCTCGCCCATCATTTTTTGGCCATTATTGCGTTAGAGCCAGCTTTGGGAAGGAGAGCCCTTCCCAACGAGTCCATTGTTGCTTCTTTTTCTCGGGACGGTGCTCATCCAATTTTGCCTTATAAAAATTTGGGCATTGAAGGTAGACTGTTTTGATGTCTCATCCGCCCCACAGCGGCAAAGGGGGCTCTTAGTCTAACGCTGTATAGCTTATCGGCGAAGTCGACGTGGCCAGTTGGCATCTGTGAGACGTAATGGTTACTTCAACATGTGTAGCCTTCAAGCGGTCTCGAACGTTGCTGAGGATCCTGTACGTGTATCTTCTCTTGCTCGATATTTGCCACTTATGTTGCCATTGCGAGAGGTCCACTCCCGAGCTTCATCCTACGAGCTTATCGGGATACTCGGAGAAATTCCATTTCGCATGTTATGTTAAAGGGAAGGATAACCGCTATTACCTGTATGCTTCTGTCGACATTTCTTGTATGCCTGAGACAAGGCCAGTAGCGCCACTAGCCGTGCTCTTACAAGACAACTCCAGCCGACACTTCCTAAACTTCGCCTCCAAGCTGGGGCTGCGTATAGGAGGTCACACACGTCGTAGAATAATTTTCCTGTTCTTGTTCGAAGCTCCCCACGTTGTTCCGTATATGGTCTTGATCAAGAAGATGCGTTGGAGAGTCGGCATTAATCGCAGTTGGAGAGAAATTTATTCCATGCGCCATCTTGATCAAGATAGGTGACTATTTGAGGGCTCGTGATGTTGTCGCTGTCTAAGTACACTGGGTGAAGATCGCATGTTAAATCGTCCATTCAAGAATATCGTTTTCGTTTTCTCTGCTGCTAGCTCTAGCTTACTGATCTTTGCATCATCTCTGAACTGCTCAGACAGCCACCGCGCTCCTGCGTTCCGACTCCATTTTTATTTTCCCAGGGACGACTGGGAT